ATGAGCCAGAGATGACACCATGATTTGAAATTAAATTAAATGATTTGTGTTTAAAAAAAGAAGTGTGAAGTGGCACCTAGCTGTATGGATGCATCCAAATTAATTTCATGTTAGAAAATAAAGCACATTTAAGTACATGATTGTAATACTAAAGTTACTTTTTTCCAACAAGGGATATCATGGTCTCACAAAAAAAAAAAAAAAAATTTGATTTGTGCCTTTAATGCTTAAAAAACGTAATAGGACACCAAATTCTATCATATTTATGGAGAGTGTCAATTATCCTGTTTGTTTGTTTTTTTTTGGGTGTCACGCTGTTCAAAGACTGTTATGCTCCTTTTTCAGGATTGCACAGCTCTATGTTATGGCTTTCCTCCCTGCTGTTCCTGTAAGTATAACAACATGTTTTTACAAAAATAACACAACAGTGGTTGCACTTTCATCTCTGTGTTGGCCTTGTTTTCTAGAGTATAATTTCAAATGTTTCCTAGTGCTGCTCACTTTTCAGGACAATTTTTTGGTCATTGACCAAAATGTTTCCTGTCAAATTGTTTATGTTCAAGACGCAAATTTTAAACAGCCTACCCACACATACAGTCACTGTCACAAGCTTTCCTACTGCTGACAGTACTGATGTCTTTTACTGTCCATCCTTCAATTTCCTAGGCCATGTTTCTGCACCATCTGCAGGTGTCTTATCTGCAAAACCAGGTACAACCTCTCAGTAAGCTCAAGATGCTGCACTGGACAAAAGACAGCAAAAGACATGTAAACTCAACAAATAATGTATTGCCATGTTTCAGGGCATCATCCTGCCACAGATGTACACAGCAGTTGCTGCCAACATTTTAAATGTAGCAACAAACTACATCCTTCTTCACTCAATGAAACTGGGAGTAATGTATGTATGATTACTGCTAATTTTATCAATACTAAACAGCAATACATGCACTATAGATTAGTGATGGCCATAAGCCAGGAAATGAATGATCTTTAGTATAAGCAGGTGTTTGTGTCTCTGCAGGGGCTCTGCCGCAGCCAACAGTATCTCACAGATCTCCATCTGCCTCTTGCTGTTTGCTTACATACGCTGGAAAAAGCTGCATGTGAACACATGGGGTGGTGAGGAATATATGGAAAGCTGCACACAGAGAGACACTCATGTTTGCTTTTATGTCATTATGGGGTCACTGACTTATACAATTTTTACATTAAGCCAATTATAATTATTATACCCTAAAAGGGATTAATTTTTAATGGCTGTGAGTTAAAGAGATGTTACCAATGCAGCAAAGTTAGAGAAGCTACAATGTATGAGCAGCAATGTATGCGGAGACTACCAGTGGGAGTGCAGACAGTAATGCCTCATCTGATATATTTGAATACAATGGTAAAAAAAGACCTAGCGCTGATACTGGAATTGAAGCTGATTCCAGACTAAAGGCCGAAAACGATATACAATGCAAACTATAACAATAACAATAAGATATACATTTTAAACTAATTTAAAAGAACACCAGAATCCTCACCACAACTATAACAATACCGGCACAGAGGAATGATATTGTTGGAATCAATTTCAATTTTATTTAATTAATTTTTTTTGTTTTTACCAGCTCAGCTGATGAACGATAAAAAAACAAAACATTGACAGCCAATCAGAATCAATGCTGCTTTAAACTTGAGCATTTAAAGCAGCAGACGACAAAACTGCAGTGTGTACTTATATTAAACAGAACAGCATTGTGTGTTATAGTCATCTTTATAGTTAACTAACAATAGTTATAAACATAATTATAATGAAAGCTATATTAGCCCATGCTTGTACTCTTTAAAGTTGATTCTGATTGGCTGTTGTGTTTTTATCATTCATCAGCTGGAAAAAAAAAGATTCTGAAAGCGATTCCAACAATCCGTCTTCTGCTTACCTATATATGCTTACCTATTCTCATAGAATTAGGCCAAATTTTAAAGTTTACAGTTATAGTTATCGTTCTTGATGTGCTTTTAACTTAGCTTTCAAATTCTTGTTGATCATAAGAGCCTTTGCACCAGAAGAAAATTTTCATAGTTCCTATAAATATTGGAACATATAACTATTGGATCTATAAACCTGCAGGATCTGAGAATGATTTTAATTATAGGGAACGCCTTTTGGGGGGGACTAAATTATCTCCTGTTTCAGAATAGGGTCTAACCCAGCACAATGGGAATGACCAGTGAGGTAAGTTTATGTTGATTGGCTGAAGGCATGCCATTTGAAACACTGGAAAAGATAGACCAACACCAAAGTCCAGGCACTTCTCAACTTTTATGCTATGGAGGAAATTCAATGCGGCTTTGAAGGTTCTTTTCTTGGTCTTTTTGATATGTAAAACTGCAAGTTGTCTGTCGTAAGTGACTCTCAAGAAATTACCCCACATTAGTCGCCACCTACTGGTGTGATGAATAACCTACAAAAATAGTCACCAAAAGAATCCGTCAACAAATCTATTTGGTGAATTGTGATTAAAAAAAAAAAAAAAATCCCACCCCTAGCTGATAATAGGCACAGTCTGAATCATATCATGCCCAGAGATGTCATGGCCTTCAGTAAAGTCGATTTGCCTGAGTGAAATCTTCTCCACAGGTCCAAAGGACTCTCAGTGCCTCAGAATCAAACAATCAATTTTGCTTGGGATCGACTCCCAGCCCTCGGAAGACTTACTAGCAGCAAACAGCAGAGAGACTGTCAGTAATTTAATCTATCACTATGAATTCCTACTCGTCATGGACACCAATTAGCATTTTTCCAGTGAAAGAAAATACTTTGTTTTTTATTTGTGAGGCTGTTTTCCCAAATGTCCAAATCCAAAATCTGTCAGATTTTGATCTGTTCACAATGACCACTGTGAATAGGAAAAAATGAAAAAAACATATAGATAACAAACACAATTATTCTGCATAGCTAGTCAATCAATAATGACAAGAGATATGTATACTGTATGAACATGACTGCTGTGATAAAAGAATGTGTGTGTTTGTCTTTGTCGCTCCCTACAGGCTGGTCTACTGCAGCACTGCAGGAGTGGGGGTCTTACATGAAACTGGCTATTCCCAGCACTCTCATGCTCTGTTTTGAGTGGTGGGTCTATGAGATCGGAGGTTTCCTTGCAGGTGTGTAGATGTGTGAAGGAGGTTTCACACATCTGTGTTGTGTTGTCTTGTGTTGTCTTGTATTTCTGATTAACCGTAATAGTCAGAAAAAAATATGATTCAAAATGAAATGGATAAAATATTGATTGATTGATTGATTTAGTCAAGTATCATATTTTGATACATCATGCTTTTATGGCCGCATGTATGATATGGGAGAATATAGAGCTCATACACAGTGGAAAAAAAAGAAAAACCCTCTGTTTTATTCAGAGACCCAAAATGATCAAAGTTATGCCATTTGGTGCTGATATTTATGACCAAAAAGTAAAATGAAATTTTAATGTAATGTAATGTAAATCAATTAGATCTTTTTATCTATAATCAAGTAAACCTAATTTGTTTGAATCCATTCTGAAATATTTCTAACAATATGAAAGTTATTATTATATTTACTTATTAAAATACGTAAAGATTTCACAGCAAAAAGACATGTGTACCACAACCTGAAGGTGGGCATTTTTACAATTATACTAAAACGTGTTAACAAAAGTGTAAATCATCAATCAGACGACAGAAGACTGTATAGAAGACTGTGTATAACAGGTTTTGAACAATTTGAGGCTTTAGACATTTCCATATCAAATATAATACAGTAGGGTTTATAGGGTTAAAATATTCCTATTGGTCTTCAACCAAAGTCCCTCTGCAATCATGTTAAATACCTGACAGTCAATTTTTCGTGAATCTTTTTTTTTTTCCTCCCAGGTGGAAGTGCACAATTGTTTTGCAGTTGTTTTATAAATAATCTCATGAATTGCCTAACTACATTTGAGTTGTGCAATGCCACAATCAGACAAAAATCAGAGACATCCAACACATAATTAAATAACATCCATTCATCCTTTAATTTTTCCCCCCTGATGATTGGCAGGAATGCTGGGGGAGGTGGATCTTGCTGCTCAACATGTGTTGCTGGAGGTGGGGGCCATTACTTACATGGTAAGACAGTGTTATTTAACGTTACACTCACAATAAGAGACTTATTAAATTGGGTTAATCTGCCATTGCTAGCAGGGTTTGTCATTGCTGCCAAATGGCAAATATATTGAAACAAAAAGTATTAAACATCGTTCTGAAAGTGATTCCAGTAATATAATATTCCTGTCATTAGTATTAGTTGTGGTGTGGACTTACCTATTCTCATAGAATTAGAAAAAAAAAACTTCATCATTATTATTATTTTTTATAGTTATCATCCTTGATGTGAAAGACCTTTAATTATCAATACTGAAGAAAAGGGGGAGGTGATTTGAGATCTTTTTAAGGACTCAATGTCTAAGCTTCTGCCAGCTGAGGCAGAAGTCTCTGTAACAAAGCTTTTCCTGCGAGTTTGACATGGATACACCTTTTGTTATTGTTGGGGTTCAAAGATTCACTTCAGTTGTTTGTAATGCTCCAAAACAACACCTTTATCGCCACCTACTGGTCTAATGTGGTAACCTTCAAAAATAGTCAGCAACAGATGTTTTACAAACAAATTATCCTGTTCAATTCTATTTGTTAAATTAAATTAGTGTGAATATTTGCTTGTTTTAATAACAAGATTTTATGTTTAGTTTCCATTAGGTGTGCACGCGGCCGCTTGTGTGCGTGTGGGAAATGCGCTGGGAGCTGGAGACACTAACAGGGCCCTGATCACTAGTAAAGTGACTCTTATGATCTCAGGTCAGTAGAATATAGAAATACACAGTGCTAACAATAAAGTTTAGTAATTAATATATAACTTACAATAAGTATCCAGAAGGAAAGATCATTTAAACCTTTACTGCATTGCAGGAGGTTTGGCTGTTTTACAGGGAATCGTGATGGGTTCCACAAAGTCAGTAGTGGGATACATCTTCACTTCTGATGAGTATGTTTGTTTCTCTCATAACATACACGCATTATTGGGTTATGATGAAACTAGGATTATTATAGATGAAGTAATAGCATGATAATTTTCTTCGTAAAATATATATAAGAATCAGGAGAACAAATAAATCACTGCTAATTATAGCAATGAGAGTGAAGCTTTTCTTTTGTTGTTTTGCAGTTCTCACTTCTTGATTTAATCTAACAGGAGCATAGTGAAAATTGTCTCGGAAATCCTCACCCTGTACGTTTTCCTGCAGTTTTTTGATGCTCTCGTGGTAAGTTTTAATTGTTTTATAATTTGCATGCATTCAAAAGAAGGCAACACAAATTAATCAACCTTTAACGATACAGATATTCTTTATGATTGAGCTGAAGGTCATATACTGTAACTAGCATTATGTTATCGTCTGTCTTTCATCATTACAGTATCTATGAGTGATAATGTCACAAGATGTTATCAGTTAAAATGCGTTTACTAGGGATTTCTTGTGATGTCATGAAACCTGGTTTTGTGAAATTATGTAATTCACTGATTACTCTGAAGTCTCTATAGTGCATATCTCTACAACAGACCAGTTTGTCTTGTGTTTTAGTGTGTGTGTTCAGGGATTCTTCTGGGTGCTGGGAAGCAGAAGATAGCAGCACTGTCCAACTTGATCTGTTACTACTGCATTGGGTTACCAGTAGGAATATCACTGATGTTTCTGGCCAAGCTCAGGATACTTGGTACCATCTCTTCATTCCTATTTTCCTAACTTATCAGAAATTCAGTTGTTTCAAAGGAGTCAAAATAAGTGAAAAAAAGAAAGAAAAAAATAATGTCAAGCCAACCCAGCTCTTTAATTCCATTCAGATATGTGGCATCCCAGTTTTGCCCTGCAATTTAGTTATAAATTTTTTCATTCTCCAAACTGAACCAAAGTTAATACTTTTATTCAGTAAGGATGCATTAAATTTTACACAAAAAAAGTAAGAGTAAAGACTATATAATTTTTCAAAAGATCTCCATTCATCAAAGAATTCTAAAAATAATAAATAGTAACTAAATGAATAAATAAATATTTTGTATATATATATATATATATCTGTTTTCAACATTGATACTAATAATAAATCATTTTCAGCATCAAATCATGATTTCTGAAGGATTATGTGACACGGAAAACTGGAATAATGACTGATGAAATTTCAGCTTTGCCATCAAATAAATAAATTACATTTTAAAATACATTAGAATAGAAAACAATATTTTAAACTATAATAATATTTCACAGTATTACTGTTTTAATGTTGCCTTGGTGAACAAAAGAGACATCTTTCAAAAACATTAAAACATCTTACCAACCCCAAACTTCTAAACACCAATCCACACTTTACAAAACACTAATCTAACACATTCAGTAAACCAAATTTTATACTACTACTACTACTACTACTACTACTACTACTAGTCATCAAAACTATAAAACAGGCAATATGTATGTTTTTGTATAAAACAAATTTCAATACATAACCTGAACACATCAAGACTTGTTATTGTTAGTGATTCAGGTCTCTGGTCATATAGCATCTTTTCTCCTCCAAACTAGCCATGTAATAAAATTCAGATAGTGTTTGCTTCCCATGACCTGTTCTAAACTTGAAACTCGTCCCATTTTGATTTCCCACTCATTCAGGTCTATGGCTTGGCCTCTTTATTTGTGTCATTATTCAGACCTGTTTCTTCACCACTCTCATCTTTAAGCTCAACTGGAAGAAAGTAACAGAGCAGGTCAGACATAACAAATCAAACCTGCGTGGTCAGGTCAAGCTACCATTATGTAAGGGTGTCGAAAGTGATAATGTTGTCTAATGTCTTCCTTAGGCTCAGAAACGTGCAGGCAAACATGCAAAGGTAGTGTGTGTTCAAAAGGCACCATCGATAGGACAGTCAGTCCTTGATACGCTCGTTTCTGAAGGGCAGGACAACGATGAGCAAACACCTGATACTGGAGCTTCAGCAAGTATCCCTGAACCTTGGGATGACATAACTGGAAACAAAGTAAGTGCTACAGTAATCCCAGCATCCAGGGTTTCCCAAACTGGGGTTTTGGAGGAACTGCAGAGGGTTCATGATTTGATGAAATGATAATACTTAATTATATAAATTATATTACAAAATGTATCAAATAAAAGCCTGAGATTTGGTTAAATGATGCTATGTTTCAAAGCAAAGCAACACTGTGTTCACATCTCATAAATTTGGGAACATAACATTCAATTTATTTATACATTCACATAATTTACAACACTTTTGTGGGTTTACAGCATTTCAGCAGTGTTCTACCAAAATAAAAGCTTGAGGATTTTGAATGTTTAAAGTTTGAGGGTTTGGACGTTTTGAAAGTGAAGAATTTAAGTCATAAATATTAGTATTGTAACTTGTAAAGCAACATTATTATAATGAACAAATATTAATTTATATTTTCCAGTACAATTGGAATTTACAGCAGGAATGTATTGCTGTCTTCATTTCTGTAATTAGAGTTGAAACTTTTTATCTATTTACTTGCATGTCGAGCAACAAATAGCCAACATCAGAGAACCATAAACATGCAAATGTGTTTTTAAATTACTAAAATATATAAAAAAAATAGTTCACCCAAAAGTGAAAATTTGCTGAAAATGTCCTCACCCTCAGGCTACCCAAGAGGTAGACGAGTTTGTTTCTTCATCAAAATAGATTTGGAGAGATTTAGCATTACATCACTTGCTCACCAATAGATCATCTTGCAGTGAATGGGTGCCATCAGAATGAGAGTCCAAACAGCTGATTAATCACAAAAATTCACAACACGACTCCATTAGTCTTTAAGTTAAGGTCTTGTGAGGTGAAAAACTGTGTTTGTAATAAACAAATCCATCAAGACAGTTTTAACTTCAAATTGCTGCGTCTAGGTTAAATGTGAGTCCTCTATCCATAAAATTGCTTTCTGCAGTGAAAAGCTTATGAAAAGTCTTGTCTGAATCAGAAGACAAATATCCACAGATAAAGCACAATTTACAAGTGAAAACAGTCCAAAAACAGTTCTAAACAAATATTTTAGTGGATTTTGATGTGAGAGGACAACAAGGGATGGACTTTTTTTTACTCAAGGAAGCGTTATTTTCAAATTTTTGCCAGAAGCAATGGTTTAAAGTTAAAATACCTTCATGATGGATTTGTTTCTTACAAACTTGCAGCAGTCATGTGGATTACTTGTGGATTATTGTGAGGTTTTTACCAGCTGATTGAATTTTGATAGCACCCATTCACTGCAGAAGATCCATTGGTGAACATGTGATGTAATGCTACATTTTTCCAAATCTGTTCCGATGAAAACTGATCTATACCTTGGGGTGAGTACATTTTCAGCAATTTTAAATTTTTGGGTGAACTGTTTCTTTTATTTAAATTCTCAGGGGGTACTTCAAGTAAATATTTTATGTCTAAGGGGTTCGGCTGATGAAAAAGTTTGGGAACCCCTGCCAATCACCAAGTCAATCACGTGTGTCCTGAAATTGAAACTATTCTCAAATCCCAGTGATGATAGCTTCAATAATTACATTATGCTTTGCTTCTTTAGTCCCAGCTAACAAGTAATAGACCTGAAGTGGCTGGCTATGTCCAAGTAAGCACCCAAGAGCAGAGTAAACTAGTGATGGCGAGTGAATATGGAGAAACCCAACCTAAAGCCTTGCTCTCTACGAACCAGCTTGTGCTCAGACGAGGACTTACGCTTTTGACCACTGTCCTGATCCTGATAGCTGGAGTCGCTGTGCACATAGCTTGTCCTCTTCCAGAGCCTTTAAGCCCTCATCAAAGCAATCTAACAATGGATTCAAGAAATGTTTCCACTTCTAACATCTTCCTCAACACCACGTTGAGCTAACTCTAACTTGATCCATCTTAACAAGGTCCCATTTCAATAAATTTGGGACCTCGAGTGGGTCAATCAGCCAATACCACCAAAATTTGTCAGTGTTATTTAAGAGAAAAAAATGCATCTCTGCCAGCTTTTCCATCCTACCACTAATAACAGTTGAAGGCTTACAAATGAGCATTTCTCTCGACGTACAATATACAGTACTATGGACTTCTACAAATTTGGGACACACTCCAAACCCAGCTGTGTAGGCCAAAATACAGCTGAGTGAGACTACTGAAAAGAGTAGTACTTATGTACAGTATATGTTATTTCACTTCTTAGCAAACCAAATTTAAATTTTAGGCATTTTTATATATCTGGTTATATGAAGCCATTTATAAGGTTGTAGTTTTCCTGGTAAATGTATTTATCATAACAAAGTAAAGCATAATATTATATACTACTGAAATCATTCTTTTTTTTTATAAAAAAGTTAAGACAGAGTGCAAAAAAAATATAAATGCATGCTTGTCACGTCATATCCAAACATGGAGAAAAATAGCTCCAGTGGTTGAATTATATATATATATATATATATATATACACTCAACAAAATTATAAACGCAACACTTTTGTTTTTGCCCCCATTTTTCATGAGCTGAACTCTATATATACTGTATATAGGTCCGGAAGTACTCAGACACTGACTGAGTTTTTGTTGCCTTTATACACCGCTACAAAGGATTTGAAATACAACAGTCAAAATGTGATTGAAGTGCAGACTTTTAGCTTTATTTTAAGAGGTTCCACAAAAATATGACATTTACCATTTAGGAGTTACAGCCATTTTAAGCAAAGTACCTCCATTTTCAGGGGCTCAATAGTATTGTGTTCTTCCTTTGTTATCTTGAAACAGTGTGGCAATGTTTTATTGAGCACATTATATAATCTGTTACCTCAACAACATCCTCAAAACATCCTCAAAATGTTGCAGATAAAATGTTCTAGCTTTGTTAATACGTCACATTACAAGAAAGTTTTATAAAAAATATTCCTTCACCTCTGGCCTCAATGATGTTCTTATAACGTTCTCCTAAAGTGGCTGAGAGAATGTTCTAACAAATTTCTTAAAGAAAGTCACAAACATATAACCAAGAACCAAAATTAACTCTTGGTAAGTGCAAAAATTTCTTTGGCGAGTAAATAAAACTAGTTGGTGGATATTTGCCTGGTAATTTGTTTTAGTAAGCATAACATAAAGCACTATAATTACTGTAGTTTAAAGGAAGCTAGAAATCGTTTTCTTATTGTCGTAACTCAAGGACTCCATGTAGCACCACACTATAATAAAATAATATGAATATTTTGGCAGAAGGATGAAGTAACATTAATTGTGCTCATCTGAGAATTCTAATGAGCACCTCATTTAACACAATCCCTCCAGCTAATATAAGCAGCATGAAGAAGACAGCAAGGCCTCGACGAACAACCAGTTGTTTTGTTGTCAAGACTGCGCCAACTGTGACCTTTGTGCCAGTAACTGTTATTCCTCCTTCTCCTTCTCCTTCTCCTTCACCGAGACCTTCAAGGTCTGTGTTTGCATCTGTCTGGCCTTCTTCATTGTGCTGGGACTCCTGTGGTACTTCTGTAGAATAATCAGGCAACATAAGGGAAAGTCCATGATGAAAGAAACATTTTGTGTTCATCATTAAAGTCATCATATACCGTAGACAGAAAGTACCTTCTGTGCAGCCCTTATTTTCCATAGCATAAGATTCATCTTTGGTCTGAGGGGCTTGTACACCTGCTCTGATCAAGGCCTGAAAATAAGAAAATAAAAATAAAAATTAGCATATCAAAATAAACTATATAGATGTGGGTAAAGAAAATTGACCCACCTCGTGAGTGGCTTTTTTCCAGTCCAGTTTGCAAATGAGGGTGACAAAGAACAAAGATTGTGTGAAGGCACACACAAAAAATCCAGTCCACAAACCTAGCAAGAGAGAACAAGAGGAAAGTCATGGAGGCGTTCAGTGTGGCACCTGAGATTAATCCTTCAAATAGTTCAACACTTTCAAGTCATTTACCAATTATGCCCAAGCTGAGAGCAAACATCAGAGACACTCCAATTGGAAATCCCACAAAATAATATCCTATAATGTTACAAAGAGCACCAAGCAGCTGCTTTCCAGCACCTCTGACAATTCCACCTGTAATGCCCTACAGACAGAAAAACAAACCTAAGTATTATCAACAGGATGTTATCAGACATTCTCAATATTTTAAGTGAATATCTTAAATAAAAAAAATAAAAATAGAAAGAAACTGAAATTGAAATATCACACATTTTATGCTCTAAGCTTTATTTTATTTTTTCTGTTATTAAAACTCACTCAATTTTGTTTAGATTATTAAAAAAAAAAACATATTTTGGGTAAGATTGAAGAAGAAAATAATACACTAAACTTAGTTTAGGATGCATTCTGCATATATTATGCATTTTTTGTTACTCAAAGTAAAAGTATACTATTTTACAGATGATTATGTATTTATTCATTTATTATATATATTTTTTTGTAATGTACAGGAAAGCCACTTAAGAAAGGACAGAAGAGCTATTGAAAATGGGATTTGATTTTGATTTAAAAAATCTAATTCTCTCTCTCAAGAATAAACAAACAGACAGATTACAATTTGGTCAAAACAAAGAAAAAATAAATCACAAGCCTACCGCAATGGCATCAAATATATGAAAGAAGCTGTACATGACCATGACCTCTGATACTCTGAGCACTATTTCCCTTTGAGAGAGAGAGAGAGAGAGAGAGAGAGAGGGGGGATACCGCACATGTAAAATTTTATTATGTTAAAATCTTAACAGAACGCTAGATTATTTCTTATTCTACTTACTCTTCTGTGGTAAAGACGTATCCGATAATATCACTGGTACTTCCAATAAAGGTTGCGACTATACAAGAAGCAAGTACTAGAAAACAACACAAGAGAAACCAGAAGAGTTTAGCTCCAACCTTAACTAAACACACCTGAACCAGCTAATCAAGGTCTTCAGGGTCACTAGAAACTTCCAGGCAGGTGTTTTGGAGCTGTTTGGAGCTACACTCTGCAGGACAGTGGCCCTCCAGGACCAAAGTTTGACTCATGTGCACTAGTTTCTGGAAATGTGAGGAATGGTCAATTTCCACTTGAGCACGGTTTGGTGTGATTACGGTCAGACTTCTCAGCACGGTAACTAAAGCCACTTTTCCACCATGGTTTCAAACCATTCCAAGCACAGTAAAGAAAGTTTCTAATTGCTTGGAAGGATTACAAACCATTACTGGAATTCTCGGCCTTAACAGTGGTCAACCATGCTTGTGGATCTCTAGTGAATTGAGGACATGATTGTCTACAACCCAGTGAATATAACATACATGACTCATATAAAACTATGCCAGTAAACGTAGGCCTATAGCTAAGAGAATATTTACCTTTCTATCCACCTTTTTCCAAGCCTTCTTCATTTAAAACAATGTTCTATTATAAATCAGTTGTTTTAAATTATGGCAGACACCTCTGCTTAGGGATTGTTCCACTCAAAAAAAAACAAAAAAAAAGATAATTTCAAGTCATAAAGTTGCGCTACAAATAATCCTAATCCGTCGGATTGATGATCCTCCTGATTATATTTTTATTCATGGTATGTTAAAAGCGATTTGTTAAAGCTTTTAATTTTAAATTCCCTTTTAATGTTTAATGGTTGAAGGGTGAGTAGAATAATGTTACCTCATTGCACCCAGTTTCTGAAAATGCTTATTCATAGAGCGAATATTTCACTGATTGTTTACAATTTAACAAAGTTACTCCCATAATGGGATTGAAGGAAAAAGGCGGATATGCTCCTTCTCCATACAGCTTTCTCCATTGTTTACATACAGTATCATGCTGTCCACAATTGGTCACCAAGGTAACATACATTCTAATCCTGTTTTGGAAAAGTAATCATGCTGCATAAAAGTTTTTAGTTTAGTTGTTCACATACGTCCACAGACTAAAGACACTTTGGCAGACAATTTGGCTTGTTCTGGGTTTCCAGCTCCAAGTGCATTTCCCACCCTCACAGTGGCTGCTATTACAAATCCCATTGGAAACTGAAAAGTGAGAATAATAAATATATAAATGACAAAACAAACAAACAAAAAACCTACTTCTAAGTGATTCAAATATCATTTTTCACAGATGTTCAGAAACAGAACTTGTTGCTGAAACAGTTTTTCTTTTGATATGTTCGACTTCCCTTTATTTCAACATCAATGATTTTTATCACATTTTTACTTAAAAGAAAGACTGACTAATTTTATATGCACTTTGGACTAAATTTATTCTCAATTATATGATAGATTAAGGCTGTGGCAGCAACTGTTACAGATGTTTGACCTCACACAACCCCCTTTCTTACAATAAAAAATTTCCCATAAGAAATTGATGTTTTATGCTTTTCACTTCTGGGGATTTTAATAAAACATTTAAACGTCTTGTGAATTGTCCAGTGTGCAAAAATTAAACACACAAAATACGATTTATTGCTGTCACCAACTGATGTGTCTGTTTTACCACCCAGGCAGAAGATAACAGAATACTATTGCTAATGGAACACAATACTCTAAACATCTAAAAAGAGTGAATGTGAAATATCAAAATTGTGCACGTCTTAGTTTCACAGTTCTGTCATGGGTTCCAGTTTCAGTTATCGTTTATATAAATGTAAGATTAATATCTTGACACATTGACCAGCAAACAACTGGTGCTGTTGGGTCTGAGAACACCCTGAGGCCAGTATAGGTGTAAATTGTTCTAAAAACAAAGAAACATTTGAAAAACATACCATAAACGCAATAGTAGCCAGCTGATACACAACAGACTGGGCTCCCAGCTCAGCCTCACTGATGATTCCTACAATGAACAACTAATGTAGTCATGACAAACTAAATTTAATTGCATAAAAACACAGATAGTTTGCAAACCTGCCAGGAATCCACCAATCTCATATGCCCACCACTGCACACAAAGCATGAGCATGCTGGGAAGAGCCAAGCTATTGAATGGACCCCATTCTTGCAGACAATCACAAGACCAGCCTAATGTGTCACAGAAAGAGATGTAACAGATGGAGACCAACAGAAGTGTCTGTAACACTTTAGTTTAGGGACCAATTCTCACTATTAATTAGTTGCTTATTAGCATGCATATTAGCTGTTTATTAGTACTTATAAAGCACATATTAAAGGGGTCAAATGATGC